ACTAACTTAGATGCTCAGTCATGAGTTCTGAAGAAGCTGTTCTCTCTCAAGAAAGAGATCTTGGAGTTGTGGCAAGGAATTTTCTTTCAATATCAGCTCAATGTTCAGACAAAGTCAAGCAAGTAAATAGGACAGTAGGAATTCATGGGAAAGAAGTGTTAAAAAAGTATGAATGTAGAAGAGAAAATAATTATGCCTCTCTTATGCATGGTAGACATGCATTCAAAGCACTGAGGGCAGGCCTGGCTTTCTAGCCTGGAAAAGAAGAGTACAACAGATAGAAAATATATAGAAGTGGACAATAAGAAGGATTAAGTATAGTTTCTGTATAAAGAACAGCAGGATAAATTAGGAGTCTTTAATCCAGGGGTCTGTTAAAGCAGATGGGTATAGAGAAGAATGTGGTTGTTCATTTGTTCTCACATGCAAAAAGTAGGTAATCTAGTTCTGCTGTCGTAGTTCAGGTACAGAAGTTCTGTCACTTTACATGACACTCACATTACTTGTATACTCTTCATAATGTAGCCAAGGATAATAAGCTTCTGAATATTGAGCAGGTATCTTAATTTTTCTTTGAGTAATGACTAGGAGTAGCTGAACTTCTTTGTTTCATTTTGAATCTTGGAGAGAAAGGAGGAATGCCACTGGAAGAGCATGGTATTCACTACCTGCAGGAGGTGGAAGGCTTGGCAGGTTATGGTTACTGGGAAGGAGAATCTTGAAAACGTATAGGTTTACATCTCAGCAAAAATATTCATTCGTTTACAAAAGTAGTTGAAGAGGCGTGCAAAATCTGAAACTCCAGGAACCTTGCCTTTTCATTTTTAATTCCCTGAGGTCTTTGTTTTGTTAGCAGAGGAAATAAACTGCTGCCCTTTTTTGGTTTTGCGTAACTCTGTAAAAAGAAGCCAACTAATTGTTCCACTGAAAATGCAATGTTGCTACAACATTAATGTTCATCAGAGACGGAATTGTGAGGCATCATGTTTACTGAATAGTTTACGGTCTCAGAACTTGCCCACAAGGGGATCTCAGTTCTTAATTGTTGGAAGTCAAGGTGCAAGCAAGTACTTATCACAAATAAGATCATTTTCTGAGTAAGACAAAGGACACTAATTCTGGCCATGTAGTCATTATGTAACGCTCAGGACAAACAATTCTGTATAATCCAGGCAGAGCATAATTAGCTAGCTTCCAGTCTTGCCTGTACCTTGACAGATGTAAGACTGTATTACTTTATTGAACAAGTCCCTCTCATTAGTCTTTAAGCTGAATGGAGACGCTAACACACTTTGGTATTATGCATTGATATGATGCTACCAAAAAGCACCAATGAATACCCTATTTCCTTTAATTGTGTATGTTATCCTGTCAACCTAAATTTTATTATTTCACATTAACAGTTTCTCACTTGTAAATCAACAGTAAAAGGCTTATTTATACTATGTTTCAACAAGATGCCCCTTTCCTACATCTTTTTAAGACATTTATGACTGAACAATGTTGTGTTCAGCACAATTCATATTTACCATGTCTGTTCCATGTCTCCCCTCCTTACTCTCAGAGTTGGTTTCTTAAATTCCTGGAATAGTCCTTAGTTTCCCCACAATTAAGTGGTCTGCCTTTATGTCCCTGTTAAGGTGATCAGGTTGGTACCCAGAGGGGTATTATGTGTGGATACCTCTGAAGCTCAGCAGCATCTCAGGCAGATTAGACACACAGTTCGTTAGCTCCATTTCAGCCAGGGGCTGAATGTGCTCCCAGACAGGAATCCAATTCCTGCAGACATATTCTTGATGGAAGAAGGACCAAATGTGTTGTTTCAAGTCCTGCTGCTCTAGTACCTGGGCTCTCAAGGCTAGCTAGAATCTTACTTTCACTGGAACTGGTTTCTCACAGCAGGCAGCAGATGGAACAGGTGGAACAGGGTGCTTTGTTCCCTCATCAAATACATACAGAGAGTACATTGGTGGTGCTTCTAGCTTATAAAGAGTAAATAAAAGTTACGTGCTACTCTCAGACAAAGCAGAAGAAAACAGGTGAGCAGGCCCCTTTTTTGCCAGTTTTCTCTGTAAAGCAGAAGAGTCTGATAGAGAAGTTTGCTTCTTTCTAGTCACACCTGGAGAACACGATCCAAACGGATCACTCAGACATGGTGTGTAGGAAAAGTCATACTAAAAAAAGTTCTTGAAAGGTGAGCCAAGTACATCTCCCTCACATACATATTAATAAGTTAGCTACAGCTTCTTCTACAACAGTGGCAGAAGTTTCACTGAACAGGAAAAGGATTGGAAGGAGAAAGCAGGTAAACATAGAGAGAACAGCATCAGTAAAGTAGGAAAATTATTTTTTTTGTAGATGTCTAAAGGAAATCTGTGGTTCATCTGGTAAACCAATAACCAAGAGTATGAGATTTGGAGGTTCTGGAGAGTGCCAAGAATATCAGGAGGTCTCTCATCTTGGGGAGATAAAAACTAAATCTACTAATACTAATCTTCCCAACTAAATTCACATGTGTTTTCTGAGGATTGGTAGCTTGTGGGACTGCTGTTCCACAACTAGAGCAACTCTCAGAGGAAGATCAGTCCATATTTCAATTGGATTTACCTAAATTGGAGGTAACATAAAAAAGCAATATAAGGTAATATCAAGTTCTTCTCTGTCTAGACATTGCAATATGCAGAATATCTTTTGATGAAGTTCCTTCTCACAATAACAGGTGTCCATGTATATGTTCATACACAAATGTTATTTATGTGTCTATATGTGTTTATATCAGCTACATAGGCAGCACTTGATATCTTTTATTTTGCAGTTTAACTTTTTAAGTAGGAGTCTCAAGAGTCATAAAACTACCATGCAAATGCAATTCTTTCAATTTTTTCATATACCAAAGTTCCCGTTCTTTCAAAAAATGGCCAAACTTTATGATTAATTTTGCCTCGTTTTTCTTGGTCACAGTTCAACAGCATCTTTTTCATTGTGCAGAGCTGAGTATTTAGAACTGTGTTTTTACTGATTATGTATTTCCTAGAATGTTTTTTGGGCAGACTCTTAAAACACTGGTGGATGTCTAGGAAGGAATAAGGTATTTAGGACAGTAGTGAATATTCTCTGGTGCATCACTTCAGAGCATCTCCTGGCTGCCCTTACCTGTCAAACCCAGAAGTTACTGCTGCTGTAGCAGAAGCAGCAGGATACATACAATACACGTTTTCACCTCATTACTCTAGTTAACAGTCCAGAATATAAGGTAAGCCAACAATGAAGATAGCTTTGTGTGAAGACCCCAGACTGAGAACTGGAGAAACTAATGCACCAGTGGACATAATTTTCTGCTGGCTGTGCTTCCAAGGGTGGTAACATCCAGCACACTGAGTGTGCAGAGTGATAAAGGCTATAGCGTCTTCAAATGTCACAGCTTAATTACCCAAAAAAGCATCTGCCAGAACATGTGCTCATGTGGAACATGTCTTCAGTGCATGAGTAGATCTAACCATTTTCCCAGTGTGTCACATTACCAACATCTATAGAAATCCAAAATCACATGGGACCTTTTTTCTTCTCCTATATGGCAATAAATGCTATGTATTCTTTCCAGTGTCACTCACAGCTCTTTCAGTTGTACAGTTTTCCAAATATCTCCCCCTCTCTGCTGAATCATTTCTGTATGCACAAGTGTTTCTTGGCACATGTGGTTCTGTTCTGAGCACTGCAAATACCTGTGTGGGCAGGAGGGTCTTTGCAAATGTGTGGGGAGCTGGGAGCTGAGGGTAGCAGCAGGGCTGGCAGGGCAGGGTTTTCTCCCTCCTGAGCCCACAGGTGAGGCCAGCAAGGCAGCCTTTGCAAGCCAGCATGTGTCAACCACAGTTGTGGCACATTTGGGTGGTTTTTTATCCTTCTGAGTAAGCACGAAGGAGCAAACCTAATTGTTTTTTTAGTACCATAGGCTAGTTTTGCAGTGCTGTGTGCTAGCAGAGAAAAGCTGATGTAGACATCAAAAACTTGCCTACACTCATCCTTGCACTGTTCTAGAATGATACACTGATTTGGCATCAAAGTGGAAGCGTACAATAATACCTGAGTTGGGGCCATTCTCTTGCCATGTTGCCTTGCTTAAATACATTCATGCTCCTTAGACAAAGGTACCACCTGAACCATTTTTGAGTCCTTCCCCTTGACTAGCAGGCTGCTGAGGGAAGTGCCTGTTCTTTTGCTGGCTGGTGAAGTGATCCTTTTGAGACTTCAGGAACAGAGGTGGGGATGAAGATATGCAGGAATTCCTCCTTTCAATCCATCCCCCAACAGATTGACAGTCAAATTCTGGTTTTTGAGATGAAGATGTGATATAAAAGTTTTAAATAAATTGTAACATTTATTCCAAACAAGAAACAATTTGTGATGCCCTATAAGGAGGCTGGGGTCTGATTACACCAGCATATCTCCAAGTCCACATGTAGCATGTTTTGTCCAGTTTACGTACACGTAAGTAATAATAAATGGTGCAAAGAAGTGGAGACCCATCCCATTTGTTTTGTTTTTATAAACCAGTAGCTATGAAAGCCCATAATAGCTTTTAAGAAGTTGCTAGAAGAGTATGCTATTTTTAAACTTTGGAGTCCCTATAAATCAAAGCATGTTTTACCTGGAAGTTCTCTTTTTCTAAGTAAATGTAAAAAAAATGTTCTTCTTTCTATGGGAAATCATTATTTCCTCTTTTGTGACTAATTTTGTTAAGTTAGGAAAGCCTTGCAAAAAAAGTCCTTGTATGATGATAGTGTGTGAAAAGTGTAATTTAGGCTTTTTTAAAGATGAATTACTTTTTCATTGTTTTATTGCTAATAGCAAATGCATTTCAAAATCAAAGTAACTTACTAGAATCCACATCTTTACTCTGCTACTGAAATTGTGTTTTGATTTCTTTGACATGATCCCTGATTGCTGTGAGAAGAATCAGTTCAGTATTTTTGTTCTTAGATTCCCCCTCCTTTGTCTTGCAGCTACTTGTGGCAGATTCCATTAACAATTGCAGTAGGAAATACGAGCCACATCTCATCAGAGGCAATTATATGGGTGTCTAACAAATCAGGTAAAAATAAACTTTCCTCCCAGTGGAATCTCATAAAGCATACTTGTGTTTTCCTCAACTGTTTCGTTGGCATTGATCCTAGTTAATTGTTTAGTTGCTCTGCACCCAGTTGTAACTACTTGAAATGAATCACAAAAAAAGAAGAGATGGGAAGGGAGGGAGGAGGAATGAAGGATGAACAATGAGCAAGATTTATAATTATCGCAGAAGTTAATTAAAAGCTTTTACATAGAAATGTGTACCTAAATGCTAAGTATTTTTTATTTAGGAACACATATCATATCATTGATGAATGCAATTCACTTTATTGATTGCTGAAAGTTAAATGTAGTATTTTTATGGCAAAGCATGGGCTAGTAAATGCAAAGTATTTAGAATTCTGGCATTTTTTACTCCGATCCATAGTCTGAACCAGGGCTAAGAAATGTTAACTGTAATTAAAAAGTTTCCTTATTGATCTATGAAAGTGTTTCTTTTTGCTATTAGATAACTAGAAGCTGGACCTCAGAAATTCTGCTTACTACTTGTTTTCTTCCTCCTCAGTTCCTACATTATCATAATAGTTATTGCCTTGAGGACAGCTGAGGGTAGATATTGGCTGATTTTTATCACCTAAAAAAGGAATTCCATGATAGAAATGTCATTAAATATTTCTCTATGTCCTTAGCTGTTTAGGCTACATCAGCTGACAGTTTTGGACTGGAAATGAAGAGAGTGAGGGAAGAAATGTGGAGACTTGAATAGAATGGTTATATGGAAAGGAAAAGAAGGATCCATGCATCCTCTCAATACATGGTCTGTAGAGGGAAAACTGACCCCTTCCTGTAAAATTTCCCTCTGATAGAAATTTGACAAGAGGAAAGAGTCAAACCTGTGTGAGCCTGTGTTTTTTTCCTTTTTGTTTTCCTCTTGCATACATCATTAAAAGATTATAGTCATATAGAGCTTAGCAACCAGAAGGAGTAGAAGTGAATGGTGCATAATCAGTGGAAATCTTGAGTATCCCAACTTTCTATTGGTATCAGGTATGTGTTTCTTTGCACTGATCATTTGCAACCTATCAGAACATAACATATGCTGCTCCCATGGTATAATGATCTAGAAATGAGTCTGGGACCAGGACACTTTTCATACCTGGGAAATATACTCTTGTCAGAGCATACCAGTGTTGCCTCACTTTGCAGAAATACATCCCATTGGCCAGACTTCATAATATTAACACCTCCGGAATAGATCAAAACCTTGTTGGCACTGTCACAATCTGCCATAATGACCTGCTCTACTTTTGTCCTTTAGGGCTTGACTGAACTCTCATTGATGTTAGTAGAAAGATTCCTACTGACTTCAGATAGTTGATAATCTCATCTCATTAGGTTGTACATGCATGCCTCCCTTCCTTCACTTCTGCCTTGAAAGTTCAGTATATCACTATTATTTGCACAGTTGCTTCCTCACTGCCTTTTACTTGCAGAGCGCTGTGGAGGAACAAGTCCATAAAACCACTACCCAGTCTTTTAAGATCTACCGCTCCTATTGAAATGCCTTCAAGAAATCAACAAATTAATGATGGCCAGAGTGAGCAATGATTTTTGGGGTGGATGCTATATAGAAATTAAAGAAGAACCTTTCTGAGTCATCAGTTTCCTGTGTAGCAAATCAATGCCACTGTGATCTATTGGCATTATCCTTGTTCTTCCTCATTACTTTCTCATTCACTCACTCACTTGCTGTACCTCATTGAAAATGAGACTGTAAACATATGACTGCAGCAAGGATGTCCTCTTGCTTCTATTGTTGTTGTCTAGTCCAGCTGGAGAATTCCTCAACATAACAAAGTCAGTAGGAACATCCCTGGATGTACTAAATGATTCATTGTACAACCTGTTATGTGTTGGGGCTGGTGTAGATGATTTTGTGATACCCCTGGAGATTTTCTGCAGCTGGTATGTTTGTTTCCTGGGGGTGTGGGAAGGATTCTGAGACTGGAAAGGATGGTTTCCAGGATTGATTCTTGTGGATGGGAAGAATCCTGACGACTTTCTGTTGTGCAGAAAATCCACTTTCAGTGTTGTCCCAGTGAGTAGTCTGGGGACAGCTCTGCAAGCTGGAGGTGAAACAAACGTTTTAAGAGGATATTTGCAAAATAGGGAGCGGTCACATTGTTCTTCGAGTGAGTGTAATTGAATGCAGGTACTGAAATAAAATTTGGAGGAAATGCTGTTCATGAGGATGGATTCCATGCCCTCTTTAGGAAAGAGCAGATGTTTCCTCCTTGTTGACTAATTGCTGTAGTAAAGAAGCTTCTAGTGTAACCTGAAGAGTGAATAGGAGGTGATGAACAGCTGTCTGTTGTCTGTCATGTAATACTGATCACATTGCTCATTTCAGCTGCCGGTAATGAAGAGGGTCCATGTTAATAATTACTGTTATTGTATCTTGGTATATCACTTCACATTTTTCAATAAAATTGACCTTATCTTTGTGTTATCTGAGAGAAATTAAACCATGGCAGTTTCAAAGTAGCTACATATTATTCCATCAAGAAATAATCCTTTTTTGTGGTAGTTTAACTAACATATTCCCAGGGGAGCACACCCCCTTCTTTGTACTAGTGTTCACCAAGGAGGGTCATTTACTCATGGAAAAGTCTCTTCCTTCATGTGCATCCAGGAGGACAAGTGAGAGAATTACTGGTTTTTACATCCTCTTCGCTACCATGTCTGTGACCTCATCAAGGTATCGTAGGAAGCCAGTTGGCATTTTCATGAGCAAGGGGTAAGAGGCAGCTGTCCAGTCTTGTGAGAGCTTCTGAATGTAGGATGTTTGGGTTGCTGCTCATTACTCATTCTGGCCGTATCTGGTCACATACTCGAGAGATAGTGAGGCACGCAGATTGTTCAATATGCTGAGTAGGATTAGTTCATATAATTGCAGATCATCCATCAGCTGCTGGAACAGTGTTCATGCTGTCCTCTCTTCACAACAAGGTGAAGGGACACACTGGAAATTCCAAAAAGGCAGTGCTTTTTTGAGATTTAATTCATTGTCTTTTCCAACAAATCCTGTAAAGACAGTGCTGGGCCTTGGCAACTTATCTGATAATGTTCACACTCTCTAACATGTTTCATATTCAGTGTAGCTCTTCACATCTGTTTGTGGAAAGTACATAGTCATAGTTTTGGACGGTTTTCATTTTGCAAGTGCTTCTGCCAGTCTCTCTTCTCTTTACCCAGTGAGCCACAGCATTTATGTAACCATTTTCTTAATAATCAGTTTATATACCAGCCATCAGATTACCCTTTTACTGGCTCAGTTTGTCTGGGCGCGTGAAATGAAGCCATCTCTTTTGCTCTCAGAGTTCTGCACAGGTATGTCACCACCACCTTTTTCCCTGTGTTCACTCTCCATAGCTGTGATGAGGCCATTCTTTTTCAGACGAGTGACTGCTATTCAACCTCTGAAAACTAAACCAATCACAAAGGAGATGTCTGAGGGTTAGCCTTTCCTTCCATGCTGACGTCAGAAATATCCCACTAAGAAGGCTGAAATGCTCGTTGTGCTACAGTCCCTCAGGTCTGCTGAGTGATAGATTTCACCAGCACCAGGAAGTAATTGGTGTTACAGACTTCTGCTCCGTCAGAGGTCCAGAGCTTTTTTCAATTTCTCCTATGTAAGTTGCCTATTTTGTAGGCACTGCAAGAATATATAAACATGATGTCTGCAGTGTTTTGAGACCAGCCCAAAAGCAGTAGCAGGTAAAATTCAAGGACCACCTTTGAATGTAGCCAATCCCCACAAGATGGTGGCTTAGCAGGGCTGGGGGGAAGGCATTGGCAATTGCTACTGAGGGTGTACTAAGTGTGGAAGCACAGGCTCACCTTTTGCGTTTTTGCAAATCCAGGAGAAGTGACTTCAACATCAAGTGAGGAGGTTTAGCTAACATCCCTTTCCACCAGGTGATCAAGGCTTCAGACAAAGGCATACTTGCCAATCCCTGGACGTGATTTTTCTGGTGCTCAGGCTTCACAGGAAACACCTCCATGTGACTCAGCAAGTACTGCTGAACTGGCTGACACAGATTTACAGTTTGCCTCCCTGCCCTTTCCATTCCCACCTCCTGTATCTTGACTGATTCATTAGGTGCTAGGGAAATAATCTGATGGACATCTCTGCTGCTGTTAAAGTGACTCATATTTGGACTCCTCTTAGTATCTCCCCAGGATTGCCCTGAGATGGGGGAAAGAAGTTCAACAGGGCAATTTCCTTCCAAACAGCAAGTCCGAACTTCTATATTATGCCACCCTCAACTAGATAATCTCTACTTTAACTGTAAGCCACTTGACAGTGTGATTCTCCTCCACAAAGTGTTTTGGAGAAGACAGCTGCTTCTGAGCTGGGGTTTGCTTGCTGCAGCATTAGAAAAATACCCTTTCTTTTACTTTCTGAAACTCGGCTGCTGAGCTTGACCTGTGTTGCTTCTAGACTCCACTCTTTTATCTTTCAAAGGAGGAAGGAAAGCCCTGTTGAATAAAATAAATACTTATGTCCTGCTTTACAGATTTAGTCAGCCATGGTGAGGATGCAGGGGATGCAAGATCTGCAGTCCTGGCAAGATTTTGACAAAGTGAGGTAGAATCACCCCCCTTATCCTAACAGCTGAGCAAAGATCCTAATAGAAGACTGCTGCTTACATTGTGTATCACCTTAGACATTAGCAGTTCCATCATATAGGAATGTTAATGGATGGAAGGGTAGCCTGAAGAGAGTATGTGAGACAGAACATAATCATATTTACTGATGTGCTCCATTTATTGTGTTCTTCACTATACCAAAACATATTTTTTTCAAGATGGAGCTATGGCAACACGGCAAGTGAGATGGAAAGAAGGTTTTTTGGTCTGGTTTGCCTTCTCCCCACATGAAAAGTTCTTGCACAAAGATTTGTAGAATTTAGTTAAGCCAGTATCTTTTCACAAAATATTGTGATTGTGATGAAATTCTTCATGGAACGATTTCTTTGTCAGAAGAATTTCAAATTTACTTG